TCATAGGAGCAGAGAGGCTGACGTTTCGGGCCTAGACCCTTCATCAGAAAACGTCAGCCTCTCTGCTCCTATGATGCTGCTTGGCCTGCTGTGTTCATCCACGCCTGCACCTTGTTGTCTCGGATTCTCCAGCATCTGCAGTTCCTACTATCTCTGAACAGATACTAGGATGTGGCTTTAAATAGTAGCTGAAAACTTAAATCGTATGGAAAGGTGTGGGCTAATTAGGAACAGTCGGCATGGATTTCACATGGAATGATCATATTTAACTAACTTGCTGAAGTAGTAACAGAGCTGATGAGGGGAAGGCTGTTATTGTGGTGTACATGGACTTCCAAAAAGTGTTCAATACAGTGTCACATGACAGACTGGTGAGAAAAGTTAGAGTTCATGGAATAATTTAAAGTAGCAATATGGTTACAAAATTGGCTGAGGATAGGAAACAGAGTAACAGTTAATGAATATTTTCTGGGCTAGAGGTTGGTTTGGAGTGGAGAGCGCCAGGGTTGGTTTTGGAACCTTTGCTTTTCCTGATATATATTAATGATCTCGATCTTGGTGCACAAGAGACAGTTGGCTGGACGACTGGTTTGCAATGCAGAGTGATGCCAACAGCATGAGTTCAACTCCCCCACTGCAGAGGTTACCGATAAGTACTCTCCTTTGCAACCTCTCCCCTCACCTGCAGAATGGTGACCCTCAAAAACCAACACCAGCTTATCACTCTCTTATGAGACAGCATTCCTGCGATCCAGTAGAACTATGGAGATGTTACCTTTACCTTCCTAATGTACTCTACGTTATCATTTACTTATCTCACCTATATAGCATTTTATAAATTAAAGAAAATACAAACTTTAAACAAATTAAATGTATTGTCTTTTTGGACAAATGAATACTCGTCACTTGGTCAAAAAACCCTTCCCTTCAGCAAAAAAATGCATTAGCTGCATTAAAGCCTAAATTCTAGCCCGTAGAAATGGCATTTCCACCATCTATTGGCAGCAGTCACCTATATTGCCACAAAAATTTCCTCCTTATCTAGTTGTCAAAGGGAACTCTTTAGCCACTCACACTATACTCGATTGTATAAGAGGAACATATGCAGACGCAACTCTTATGATACCTTCCTCAGACCAATGGTGGTGCTGCTGGAGCTGGCTGGCGTTGTCTTGTCATTTTCTTTTTTCACTAAAGTCAGGTAATAGCCAGTTCCTAAATGATTTTTAAGGAACAGTGAAGAGCCACAGCAGCAGAGCTTTCCATGGGAGATAATGGCAATTCTATCCCCGAGGAGGTCCGCCTCATCCATGTAATGGGTTGATAATATTATGGTGCGGCCTGCAGGATAATGAACCACAGCTAACAAAAGTAATTTCTTTTTTAAAAAGTCATAAAGAGTTACAGATTTGTCAAGTTCCTGAAATCAATCCTTGGTCAGTCAGCTGATCTCAGCTTGCATGGCAATGAGTGCCATTACAATTGCTCTCAGTAGCCCTAGGGATGAGGGATGGGGACTGGTGGTTGTAGAGAAGTTCGGCATGGGAGGTTTTGGAGGGTTAGGATGTAGGAGATAGCAATCAGCTGGTATTCTACACTTGATCATTTTTAGTTCTTCCCAGCCAAAGAGCACAGAAATTGGCTCTGATGTCCTCTACAGTCCAAACTGTCTGGCAACAGGCAGAAGCTTGGCCACTCTGAGAAAGTACCAAAGGAAATTCAGCATCTTCACCCCAGCAACTGGTAAATATTTAAGACATTTAATAAATCAGTCCATTTCGAGAGTGTAAAATCAATCATGAGTGGTTTTCATACAGCCAATCATGAAAGCATTTGCTTCAGTTTAATGATTGTTGACCTTGCCTCTGGATCAAAAATTTAAAGGATCAACAATAAAACTCCAAATTTAGATTAAAATTTGGTTTATTTCATGTAGTTGCATTGCAAAATGATGTTTAGATGCTGGTCTTGGTAACCAGAAAAACAATGCATTTTAGTCATAAAAGCAACTGCAAGGAAATCAATGGAGTTAGGGAGAGAGGTGACTTAGGACTGGAGGAAGTAAGGGCGGCGACTCAGCAAAGGGAAGAGAGCTGCAAGTGACCTGAAGCCTCTGCCCATTGAGAGGTTCTGTTTCCCCATGTTCCTTTTGAATAGAATTTGTCGCAACATTTTTTTTCATTTTCTTTTTAAAAACAGTTTACATCAGCAACTTGGGCACAAATACAACAAAACATTTGGCAGAGAATATCCACCAACTTATTATTGATCTAACTGCAACATTCAATTATGCAGTATTACTCTCCCTGACAAACTAACAGTCATTTGTTACATGGCTCACCTTTTCTATATTTAAGTAAGAGCTCCCATATTCCTCGGCGGGAATAAGGGTCAACACCAGCAGTTGGTTCATCTAAAATAACAACCTTTGACCCACCAACAAACGCTATAGCGACTGAAAGCTTTCGTTGCATGCCACCTGAAAGTAAATGCAAAAATTGAAAGTTTATACATTTCAGCAGAAAAAAAGTACAGTGACCTCCTACACTGGGGCATGGGAAGAATTGACTCCTCACCCGAGAGATTTTTTGTTTGTTCTCGACGTTTGTGCACCAAATCCACATCATCGATCATCAACTTCATTTCTTCATTTACCTCCTCCTCAGTCAGCCCCTTCAGCCTTCCATAAAACCAGATGTGCTCCTCCACAGTCAATCTAAAAATGACAGTTTAACAACTACATATTAGAAATAATCTCTCATTCTGTCTTGTAGGATCCTTTCTCCATTGGTCTTTTATAGATTTCGATTGAAGTAGGCACGCAAATGTCGCTGACCTCTTGATTTCCAAATCAAGTGGTCCAACCTCTGCTTTGAAGCTGTACACTTATTAATGTTTAATGTTCAAGAAGACTGCTTTCCCGAGAAGCAATGAATCAATTTCTCACATTAGTCACTGTGGGCAAACATATCATTCAGTTTTAAGCCATACCATACAGATGAAGACAGAGGCAACAAGGTGCAGAGCTGGATGAACACAGCAGACCAAGCAGCATCATAGCAGCAGAAGATTATTCTTGGGCCTGTTCTTGACTGCAGCAATCCTTAATTCAGTAGTTGGTCAATTGGACCTAGGTCTTCTTGAGTTAGAAGCTTTCGTTTTGAGCTTTAGTGCTGTTTCTTTTCCACTCAGAGGGAGGGAGAAATCTGGCTCGATTGGTATTTAATAGCGTGGGACAGTGTCAGATAGGGCGCGACCATGTTCTGGCCTCTGCCTTGATTAACTTTAAATAAGGTACCCAGCATTGCAAACAACCTCCCTTCCCTCATTCGTCATCTATCCTGTCCCTCACCTCCTAGGTCTCTTTCTGGCTGACTTGTTAGTAGCTGCCACCTCTCCTGTTAGCACTACCTGCAATGAACAGCTGTGGCCTCAGGATGGCAATCTGGGGCCAGAATTTCCACTCCCTGGGTCTTTAATCACAGGAAAGCATTGCTGCTGGCCACAGCTATCTATTTGGCAAGCCTTTCACAAAGGAGTAACGCAGGGCTCTTGTTGACTGGCAGGTCCCATGTTTGCATTATAAATCACCCTTGATGTTCACACTTACTGCTTAGACAAAGTACTGTCAGTTACCACCAGTAGCGGGCATGAATGATGTGACATGTTTTTCTTTTTACTGCAATAAGTGCTAGAGAATTGGCTAGAATGGAAAAAGGCAAACATGGGATGGGCAGGAGGATGTTCTTCACACAAATGAATCAATAGTTGGGTACGGTAATGAAAATTTAAAGAAAAGGACTCTTGGAATTAATTCTGAAACAATATCAACTGGTCTTTATTTAGCACCTTTGATATAGTGAAGTATTCTGAAGTGTATTCAATATCATGTTGTCAAACAAAACAGTAGCAAGCCATGTAATGATTTTAGGACATTTGTCCTAAATCTTTGTGGAAGAAGTAGGCTTTAAATAGCAGCTTAAAGGAGGAGAGGGACAGAGGGTTACAGGAGAGGTTTATGGAGAGAATTCCACAGTTTAAGACCTTGATTACTGAAGGTGCAGCTGAAAATGCTGAAGAAATTAAAATTGGAAGAGATCAGAGTTTGAAGAATACAGATATTAGAGATATTTAAAGGACTGGAGATAGCAAGACATATGGATGGACAAGGCCATGGAGGAACTTAAAAATAAGGATAATATTTTAAAATGAGGTATTGCTAGACAAGGAGATAAATGTAGGTCAGTGTGCAGTGGTGGGCGTTGGATATGGTAAGAGTTAGGAAAGGTGTAGAGTTTTTGATGAGTTCAGGTTTATGGAAATGAAAGATTGGAACCGTGCCAGGAAAACATTGGCATAGTAAAGTCTAAAGTTGACAAAGGCACAGATGATGGATACTGTTATTTGGAGGACTTCTGATTTTTCCAGTTAAATAAGCCGGAAAAGAGTAATAGCCTGTCTTCCACAACTGTCTTTGATCTATTGATGTAAAGGTCCTTATTTAAAAAGAAATACTTACATGTCAAAAAGTACATTATGCTGTGGACACATCCCTAGTGACTTTCTGATCGTATCCATCTCTGTGAAGATATTTCTGCCCAGAATATATGCTGTCCCAGAGGTGGGTGGGAACAATCCAGTCAGGATAGACCTTGCAGGCAACAATAAACATAATTTCAGACTATAACTGAAGTGACACTGCAGAAAAGCTGAGATGAAAAATAATGGAGGTTCATGGGAGATTCTTCAATATCTGGCAACAGAAAAGACTCATTGATTTTAAATGTTGGAATTTGACAACGCAACTGTCAGAAACAGCATTTCACCTTCCTCTAGAACAATTTCCAACCCTCTGGCCTGACTTCAAAATACCCAGAATCACTTCCGTCTCTGCTCTTTCTCATCTTCCTACAGATACTTTCATTGGTTTTACCACTTGCATTCTCTTTGTTCAGCTCTCTTGCTTCTTAATATCTTTGCAGCTCAAGTAAGAGAACCTTGAATTGATATCCAGCTCATTGCACCTTTTGTACGTCATGAAAAGTTCTAATTGAGACATTAATTGACCACTTTACTTCCAGGTGCTGATTGAACTAGTCTGTAGATGCTGGGCTTCCCTAATTTGGGAGCAGTCCCAGGTAAGTTAGGTTGTGGATTCAATGTTTTATTCCAAATCTTGAGTCAATAGCTTATCCAACACTAGCCTATGCCCTATGCAGACAGCAACATTGGAAAGCCTGTGCTTTTGTGGTAAGATTTAAAAAGTATAAGGAGTTCTCCTGCTGTCCTGACCAACATTCCTTTATTAATTAAACTACCAAAAACAGATGAACTGATTAAATATCAAAGAATAATGGGAATAGATAAGGGAATAAAATAAGCACAAATTTGTTTGGGGAGCTGGTAACAGCATAGTGGGCTAAATGTTTTTTTTCAGTCACACACATTTCATGATGTTGGTAAGATTTGGTAGTGTGCTGAACAATTGTAACTTTTGCTTATAAAAATGTCAGTATAATTTGAGATGACCCGTCAGGCGTGAAGCTCCTGAGATCTACCTAATTTTCAGGTACAGGTACGAAGACGCCTCCATAATTGCTTTAAACCTCAGTTTGGCTGAAAAATAATTTGTGTCACACATGACAATTTTATTTATCCAATGCAAGATCTCAGGAACAATAATGTTTTGGTGTGTTTCATTATATAATCCAACAAAACATGTACTTAATCACAAAGAGATTCAAAGTTCCAGTGGCAGAGAATACCAGCTTCACCAACTTTGAATGTAACAATTATTGCATTTAAAAGAAACTAAAAACAATTTATAAAATTTTTATGTAAGTTTTGAATGTAAGCCATGAGATGGAGAGAACTTAAAGGAAAAGCCGAGCAGGCAGTTTCCTTAATCTAAGAACACTAGCTGAGCAAGCTCGTACCTGAGAGTGCAACATTTATAATAGTAATGTGTCAATAATTTATAATTGGATATTTATTTTGTGCACTCTTCCAAAAATGCGATAATGTTTTTTCAAGAGTGGATGAGTGAGAGAGAGAATGAAAATGAAACAGATGAAGCGAGTGTGAGACTGACTGTCTGAGAGAGAGAAAATACAGAGGTAATGGGGAGATTGAGAAAAGGAGGATAGAGAAAAAAAAGGGGCAAGGAAAAATAAGAGTGTGCAGCAAGGAAGGTGGTGTGTGGGAAATGTGGAAAAAATGGGGGTGAGGGAGGTAAGGGGAGAGAGATAGAAGAAATTAGAGTTAAGGGAAATGCCAAAGGGAGAGACTGAGGAAGAAACTTGTGAAAAGAAACAAACTACAGAGCAGAGTGGTCAACAGCACGTGAAGTGTGTCAAGAATACTGTGACATTTCTTTGTTAAAAGTTGTGTAATTTCACTTGATCTTTTCTTGAATCGTTTGATCAGAACTGCCCACGAAGTCCACCTGACATCAGTGTTTAAATTCGTCTCAGTAATTCATAATCCTTGTTAAGGTATCTCGAAAACTGCAACGTACATCTCAGTGGCATTACGATGGCCAATTATTAACTATTATTAGATCAAATATTGTAATATAGTAATGCTTATTTAACATTAAAAAATCTTAGCCAGGTAAGACCTCTCCCCCACCCACACATCTCCATCAACCACCCATCAAACAAGTCTTACATGGTAGTTGTTTTTCCAGCTCCATTATGCCCCAAGAATGAGGTGATTTGCCCCTCATAGAAATTAACGCTAAGTCCATTTACAGCCACTTTCTTCCCATTTCCGTAAACTTTCACTAGGTTCTGGATGGACACCCCCAACTTGAGGTGAGTTGGTTCCTGCTCCAGATGGACTGAAAGAATCACAAAAAAGATGTTCCTAAATGTTAATTATACAGAATTGTCACAAACTCAGTCACACAGCAAACAAGACAAGTTTAAAATTTTACTCCTTTTGCTAATTTTAAATTGACCACAGGATTTTTCCTTTACTTGTCGCTTAAACAAAATGTCAGCAATGTCAATGCATTGTTTGACTCCCTTGTGCTTCCCCTTGTCACACACTTCTCCAAAACGGTTAGGTGGATCAGGCCTGCAATTCACACCAGTTTTGTCTTTAAAAATGGGAGGTGAATTGGTTGTAGTCTACTGAGAATGGATAATGTCTGAGATGGTGACGAATAGCGTGATGTAACAGTAACATGAGCAGTCACATGCTAGAGAAGAAAGGATGGAATAGCCTGTACTACAGAGCTAAATGTGAAGTGATGCACTTGGGCGGGACAAACAAGGAAATGCATCATGAACAGTAGGATCCTGGGCATCAGGGGCAATTTAAGGTAAGAAAAGGTGGTTCAAAATGGAATGCAAGGTTAAGTGCTGGAAAAAGCAATTACAATAGTTAGGTGATAAGAAAATCAAAGAACTGCTGATGGTGGAAATCAGAAACAAAAACAGAAACTGCTAGAAAAATTCTACAGGTCTGGCAGCATTTGTTGAGAGAAAGCAGAGTAAATGATTTGGGTCCAGTGATCCCTCTTCAGTTCTGAAGAAAAACAGTTAGTTTGATCAGTGCAGACTCAAAGGGCCTTTTTCTGTGCTGTAGACCTCTATGATGATGTATTATAGAGATCAGCAATATGTATAGTGATGTTAAAAAAAAGATTTGCAAATACCAACAAAAGTCAGATGAGAGGAGCCTTTAGGGACACTTATTACAAAAACACAGTTTGAGCCTAAGATAGAAACCTCTTCAAAGTGCAGGACAGAACTATGTCCCAAACCTCATGTCAGCTCAAACCAGGAAGACAGATCAACCATGACAGCAGCATGATAATTATCCAGTGGAGCCAAATGTTGAAATATATAAAGGAAATATCAGCAGCAGACTTCAAGACAACAAAATCAGAAGACTTCCCTTGGTCAGATCTATACAGTAGCCACTGGTGGTAGTGTGCATTGACTGTTCATGCCCCAGCCAACTGAAAACAAAGTGCTCAGATAAATAAGCACTGGCTGTTACGGAAGAAGCAGTTCCAAAAAGTTATCAAAAAACATTGGGTTTGTATGTCAAAGAGCAGAAAGCACCAGGTTAGCACAATCCTGTAGTTAGTTGAGCATTTTTCTAATAACATCCTCATGCCACAATGGGCAGAAGGGATTATTGCAGATCTAGAATTCATTTTAAAGGAATTCAATATTTCATCCCAAAATGGAACCTAGTAAAGCAATGATTTAATCAGAGATCCCAGAGGTCATGGGAATCCATCAAATAGTTCCTTTAAGACCTGTATAAACTTGTCAGTATTAAGCATTCAAAGATAAACCTGATTCACAATTGGGTCATCAAAAGCATCTTCAATGATAAAGTTATTAGACTTTTGGCCAAGGAGGATTTGACTTTGGAAGAAGTGGTTCAGTGCACTATGTAAGCTGAAATCAGAGCTCAGAATTGGACAATAATCTGTGTAAGTAATGAGCTTTTGGATAAAACAGTTAACTGGTAGAGCAACATTTCTACCAAAGTACACTTACGAACCAATAAATATGCTCTGCTCATACTGTATCCAAATACTATTCCCCTTTACGTATGCAATGTCAAGAATTACCCTGGTGAGTATAAGATGGAAAGCTTTGTCAACATGTGTCTTTATCAGCAATAATTTAACTTTGACTAACTGTCATTTGATCGTACAGTTAGTTGGGTAGGCTAAAAGAGGCAGTCCCAACAACACAAAAACCACATGAAAATGGGGCAAGAACAGAAAAACAGTGCAGCAGCCACTTAAAGTGTTCACATTACGGAGCAAAACAATACTACAGACGCCAGAATGCTCAGCAGGAGAAAGAGTTTTTACGTCCTTTACCCATTCCAACCTATCCTCCGATGAACTGACTGCACTCCACACTTTCAGAATCAATCGTGACTTGTAATTAAACCTGCCAATATAGGTGGTGTTGTTGTAGTCTGGCAGACTGACCTCTACATTGCAGAGGCCGAGTGCCAGCTCTCAGATACTTCCTACCTCCCCCAGATCATGATCTCATGATAGAACATCAGGCCATTGTGTCCACTACGGTCACCAACCTCATTTCATCTGGTGATCTCCCCCTCCCACTGCCTCCAAAGTGACTGCACCCCTACACCACACAGCTCACTTCTAACTCCTTCCCAAAATCCACAAACTGCCCGGGCAGACCCATTGCTTCTGCCTGCCCCTGCCCCACAGAACTCATCTCTTCCTACCTACACTCGGTCTTTTCTCCCCTGGCGCAGTCTCTGCCCACTTACATCTGCAATTCCTTTCATGCTTTACACCAGTTTCAGAATTTCCAGTTTGCAGGGTCCAGCTGCCTCCTCTTTACCATGGACATCCATCCCGACCAGGATGGTCTCAGGGCTCTCCGCTTCTTCCTGGAACAAGGGCCTGAACTATCTGCATCCGCTGACAGCCGCTTCTGCCTGGCCAAGCTCGTCCTCACCCTCAACAACTTTGAACTCCTCTCATTTTCTTCAGGTCAGAGGAGGTGGCCATGGGTACGCACATGGGCCCCAGTTATGCCCGACTCCTTGTTCCAGTCCTATTCTGGTCCCCACCCAAAAATTGTTCTCCAGTATATCGATGATATCGTTGGTGCTGCCTCTCTCTCTCGACCAGAATTGGAAAAGTTCATCGATTTTGCTTCCAATTACCACCCCGCTCTCACCTTCACCTGGTTTGTCTGACTCCTCCCTTCCCTTCCTCAACATCTGTTTCTATTTCTCGGGATAGACTGTCCACCAATATCCACTATATACCCGTCGACTCCCACAGTTACCTGGACTCTACACCCTTGCATCCTGCTTCCTGTAAAGACTCTATTCCATTCTCCCATTTCCTCCATTTCCATCACGTACGTTTTGATGATGCCAACTTCGACATGGGAGCCTCCAAAATGTCCATGTTCTTCCTCAACCAAGAATTCCCCAGCCCTCTTTTTGACAGGGCCCTCAGCAGGGTCCAACCCATCTCCCACACTTTGGCCCTCACCCACTTTCTTCCCTCCTGCAACTGCAAAAGGGTTCCCCCCCTTGTCCTTATCTACCATTCCACAGCATCCACAGGCAGAGGATTATTAGCCATTTCCAGCACCTCCAGCAAGATGCCACCTCGAGTCACATATTCCCCTCCACTCTCATCAGTCTTCCGCAGCGACAGTTTCTTCCGGGACACCCTGGTCCACTCTTCCTTAATTGCCAACAACAAGCCTCCACCCCCAGCCTCATGGCACCTTCTGTTGCAACTACAGAAGGTGTAACACCTGCCCATTTACATCCTCCCTCCTCAGTATCCGAGGGCCCAAACATACCTTCCAGGTGAAGCAGCACTTTACCTGCACTTCTCATAATCTAGTCTACTGCATTAGCTGCTCACAATGTGGTCTCCAGTGTGGGTAAACAAAGCATAAACTAGGTGACCACTTCACAGAATACTTGCGTTCTGTTTGAAAAAAAGACCCTGAACTTCCAGTTGCTTGACACTTCAACACACCATCCTGTTCCCTGGCCAACATCGGTCTCAGGTTTGCTGCAATGCTCCAGTGAAGCTCAGCGCAAGCTGGAAGAACAACACCTCATTTTCTGCTTGGGAACCTTGCAGCCTTCCAGACTCAATAATCGAGTTTAATAACTTTAGGCTTGAGCTCTTCCATGTCCTTACCATACCCCCACACACTAGGCCTTGCTATCACACAGTCTGCTATTACACACTTATTGTTGCCATACCTGCTGAGCTTTTCCAGCAACTTCTATTTTTGTCTCTGATTTACAGAATCTGCAGTTCTTTTGGTTTTTAATGAAACAGTGTTTGCAATGTGGGAAGACTTTGCAGATTTCAAAATGCAGCAATAGATGAAAAGGAGAAAATCGCTGAAAAGCAAGAAGTCCAAGAAATTAGAAACTTAAAATGCAAAAAACACTTTCTTTGGTGAAGTCAAGATAGACAAAGAGAGATTCTGGTTAGTCGTACCAGAGACAAAAGGCTTCAAAAAACAAAAAAGAGAGAGTTCAAGTGAGACATTGGATCAGGTGCTGTAATATTGGCAGACCATTTGCAAGTAGATGTACGGCATCAAACATTAAGCTACAAGGATCCAACAAATCTTCAAGTAAAAGGTTAGCTTGCTACTGTAAGGAGCGAGAGATCAATGAGACTCTACTTCTTAAAAAAAATCAAAGATCTTTAAACGAAAAAAACTGAAGAATGGTGGATGCTGGAAATCAGAAATAAAAACAGAAATTGCTGGAAAAACTGAGGAGGTCTGGCAGCATCTGTGGAGAGAAAACAGAGTTAATGTTTTGGGTCCAGTGACCCTTCTTCAGAATTCAATCCTGTTTTATTGTCTCAAAGATGATCTTTATTGACTAGAAATGCATGCATATAAATAAGTCTTTTAGAAACAGTAGAAAAGGTCATACAGCAAGACAATTGGACAGGATTCCAAAAACAAAATTCCCTTAGTTTGTCCAAGGTCTACTTAAGCTTAAGAAAGAATAATACATCACAATTCTTCAGGTTGTTAAGCAAATATGTCTATACACTCACAGAAGGATACCACACTTATCACTAAAGAAAACTAAAGTACAACTCAATAGTATGCGGCACAGTGGAGTAGTACCCAACCTGTCACACAGCTAACAAAGTGGTGTTCAGAGCCTGGAACAATTCTCAAGTCAAATGATGAGCTCAGAGGATTTGTTATCCTCATACAAATGAAGCACTCCAGAAAGAGAAGTCCATATAATGTCTTCAGTGGAAGAAAAAAATTGCAAGAATGAGAGTCATATTCATTAGATATACATATTATCCAACAGACGGGCTAATGATAATTCCCAGGAAACCAAAAGCCACTTGTGATTTTCCACAACTAAAAAGGGTATCAATAGTGGCTAGAGATTTCTAGCAATGATCAACCAGGTAGAGAAGTCTATTTCAAATCAGGCAACAATTAAGGGATTTAAAGGGTCTTTTGGGAAAAGATCAACAGAGGCTTTGATGCATTGAGTAAACCATAACATTTCAGAAGATAAGAGAAATTCACTTGTTCAGATGTGCTGGCGCATTTTAAGACATGCAACCTCAACAGGTTTAAAGCAGAATTTATTCAGGTCCAGGTCAATAGCAGAAGAAAGCCAGTTTACATCAATTCCAGGCATTAAATGAAACAGAACTGTGTGATGCAACAATAGAGGAAGAGGAATTGGCATTAACATGGGGATGGGAGTGATTCTCAGACTGTGATGAAATCCAAGCTTCAAATTAAAAGATCACAAATCATTAATTACAATTAAATTCCAAAGAGATAATCAAAACATTATTATGTACACCGTGCCTCAGACTCAGGCAAATGCATAGTGATTACACATCAGTGTATGTACCAGGAAAAGCACAGATCACAAATGAACACGCCATCCAAAGCTAAAGTGAATCAAACTGACGCAAGGAACTTTGTTCTTATTAGAAGCAGATACATTTTGGTCAATCATAACAAATTCTTTACAAGCTTCTGAGAAGAAATGACAATAAAGTTGAGAAGCACAAAAGGCAGATAAAGAATGCAGCCAAATCAGGAAATTCTGCAAAAATGCTTGGTCAGAATATAATCCATCTATTACGGAATTATTGCAAACAAATTAAGCATTTTATCATCGCAGGTGATCTTCTAATTTTTAAATCACATGTTATGAAGGAAGAAAGCTTTCATAAAATTCATGAAGGCCATTTGGGAAAAGTCAATCATATAGCTCAGACACAACTCTCTGTACCGTAGTCAGGAATTTCACAAGAAATTGAATATTTGAATTGTACTGCCATATATGTGCAATTAATAGCAAGGCACCAACGGAAGCCTTATTTTCTAGTCCATCAGATAGGCTATGGCAAAGTTGGAATTAGTTTCCCTTGAAAATCAAGGAAGTCTATAATTGATCACAGTAAGCTATTATTCCAAGTAGCAAGAAGTTACCAGACTTCACAGTATGACAGCTGTTATAGTGATCAAATCACTGAAGGAAATCTTTTTGATACATGGGTTTACCAGTTGAGATTGTTTCAGACAATGGTCCACAACTCATTAATGAGTACTTTAAAAGATTCACAAATGAAATTGAAATTAATCACAGAAGTTTAAGAACTGTGTCGCTAGAGCAAAACTTCAAACTCAAAGAGCTCAGGACAGGGGGGATTAGGGGGAGAGCTGTGAGGTGTGGGCTGGTGGAAGGAGATGGTGAGAATGGAAGTAGTTTAAGGAAATAATTAAATAACATTAAATAAAAGCTGAGAGAAACTTTTGGGAAAGGTAATACAATGACAATAGACATGATGAGGTAGGTGATGCATTTAAATATGTAGTAAAGACATCAGCAATCATGTTAGAGATGGTGAAGAAATGCTAGAGAGATATGCTAAATAAATTAGTACTATGAATAGTAGATTAAATAAAAATGTCAGCAACCTACCAGCACACAGTAGGAAATCATGGGTAAGGGAGAAACCATTAGTGTCACATATTACTAAAAAAGACAGTTAGAACATGAGAACAACTTCTGTAAAGTCCCGGACAGAAGCCAAAGTCCCAAATCTCATGGCAGCGCAAAATGACAGATCAAAAGATTGATAACTCAACTGGCCACATGCAACACCAAGATTGGCTGTACCCATCTGCAAGAAAACTCTAATCTTAGAGGGGATAGCCCAGATTTTCAAACATTTCACGCCAGCTCTCCAGACCTACACTGTAGAGTGATCTAAGTGCATCTGTGTATCAGTTGTTATTCAGATGAATGTTTTGGAATATAATGTGGCCACATACTGGCAAGACATTCCGAGGAACAAAACTAAAATACTATGGATACCGGAAATTCAAATTTAAAACAGAAAATGCTAGAAATATTTAGCAGGTCTGCGGTGTCCGTGGAGAGAAAGTGTTAATATTTCAGGTCAGTGGTCTTTCAGACTGCTAATGATCTTAAAATTATTGGAGACACAAAAATAAACACAAACAGTAGTACTGAGCTTCTCACCTTTATTGGTGCTGCGGTTATCAGGGAATTCGAACAAATCCTCATTACAATAGAACTCTCCACACCAATAACTCCTGAGGACAGGAAAATACCAGGGTTTGGGAAATCCGTATTGACCTACAAGAAAAAAATCCAGTAATAGGAGATCAGAATCATCCACCCAATCAACACCCAATACTTTCTTTCATATAGCATTTTATGTGCAGAAAGGCACCTCAGATAAACCTTAGAATAGGGAGACACAATCAAGTGTTGGAAAATGTGGAAGGAATGGGGAGAATTGAGATGGTGAATTAATCAAAGGGAATAAGTTTTATTGAAGAACTTTGAAAGTAGAAAGAATAAGATAATAGAAAACGTATCAGAAAGAACATGCATTTACATTGTAAATTTCACATCTTCAGCCAAAGAATTGTTATTGAAGTGCAGTCAATGTTTGTCTGTAGGTAAACAGTGTCCAATCTTCAGGCTATAAAGTTCCGTAGCACATGAATTGGATGGCCCAGTCAAAGTTATTTTGATGTCGCTGGTTGAGGGATGAATATTGGTCATGAAACCAAGACAACTCCTTGTCCTGCAAATTATGCAGCAGGTCCCATTATACTGATTTAAATAGGTAAACAAGGCCTCAATTTAATGTTTCACCAAAAAGCGACATTTCTAACGAAACACCACAAGTGCTACTTTAAATATTAACATAGATTATGGGCTCAAAGCCCTAAAGTAGGGTTTTACCAGAATCTCTTGCCTCAGAGAAACAGGATACCACCTAAGACAAGAGACACATCAAGATTTTTAAAAGACTGGAGGATAGTGGCCTAAGAAACAGCTGCTAATTGTGGAGTGTGGGACCATGAAAAAGACAGGAGTTAAACCAGTAGGGAGTAATGACAAAAGTTATATTTGAATGGAAATTCAGAATGTGTAATCAGGAAACAGAAGTAGGAGATCTCTAAACTAGGGAGGAGCATTAATACGGGCAGATTAGCAGAGGAGAACAAAAACTGGCTACTCAATTAATTCTCCAATATAATCAACAATATGACAACAAAGGAAATGTGAACCAATAGAATTCAGCCAGGTTTATGTTCTACTGAATACTTAAATTGTACATACATATCAAAATAGTTGCCTTTCTTCATATCTTTTGAAAAAGCTGACTCTTCCTGAGATTTGGTTGACAGGTATTGCTGACTTTCATGTAAGAACGTTATATTGAACTGGAAGGATAGTTAGCCATAGGGTCATCTTGGACTAGTCTGGTTAGTTCTCAGCCAATACTTGAAAGATGTGGCTTCTAGCAGCAGCAGTCATCAGATAGCTGGAAACCCAGCTGATCATCCTAATCCCCAACCCAGGGGAAGGTAATAAATGGCAGTTTTCCGAAAGCCACCCAACTGAGATTGGCTAATTCAATGTGAAGAAACATGGGCCTACCTGATCTGTATGCCTCAATAATGCAAATACAATGTACTTAAGGCTCAAGCAATCAGAAAAGCTTCTCAAAGTGAAGTATTTTGAAAACAGTGTTAATTCATCTAAAGGTAAACAAACTTATGAGATTTGTTTGAAAATATCCTTTTTTCAGTCCCATAAGATCAATGGGGTGTGCACACTGCACTTTTGCCAGAACATCACTTGATAAAATAAATAATTACCTGGAAACACTGCTTCAATATACCATGCTGCAAGGCCATAGAGGAGAGCATCAAACAACATGAGGATGATAGAAATAGTAAAATTGTATGCATCACCCTCTACAGGGCTGGAGACAAGGTTAAACCACTGGATACCAATTCCTTGCTCCTCATAGAGAGAGAAATATTCACATCCAAAACCAAACGCAACTGGAGATAACAGACTCTGTCAGAAAAGATACAAGAGATTTTAAAAACCATTGAATGCAAGTTTTAATCTCATCAGCATTCGGAAACTCCTGGTAAAACATGAAAATGTGATACATTGCAAAAATATCTAATTTTATGGTTCCGATGTCTTAGGAGCATAACTTTTATGGAGATTTGAAGTCTTTACATGCAATATATGGTTTGGGAGGATGGTAAACAGACCTAAAGTAATTGCAATGCAAAGGATGATCTGCATGTATTTAATAAAAACAGAGCTGGATGTGGGAAAACTTTAAGCAATATATTTCAGAGTTTTGTGGTGAACTCAAAATGTCCACTGTCTTCTTGATAAGGGGCTTTACTTCTTCATATGGCTTCATATAGAACAAAAGGGAATATTTAGGGTAGGAAGTTAATTCACCGATATCTATATTTTGGATATTTCATGTGTCTCAAGTTGCCATGGGGATGGATTGCAGAGTGATAGAGTTTTGTTTTGTGTTTATTGTAGAGACTTCTTACTAACAGAATCAATCATTTGGAGCTTGACAGCAACTTTAAGATGAGCAGAGAGAGAATTTACTGAGCCTGGGAAGAACATAGTGGGAGTAGATTACTCAAGGGACAATATGGGGCAGAACTTCAATCAGCTGGGAGTCTGCCCTTGGTAAGTTCGGCCTCAGGTTCTGATTGGCAAGTGTCAGTAGTGTATCTGGAGGCATTTTGGTGAACTCCGTTAAGACCTGACAGAATTCTTGGCAGCTGAGAACTAACAAGTTTCGTTAAGGGTTGAACAAAGGCCAAAAAAAACAAAAGATCCCAGGAGAGATCTATTTTTTTTTCGAAAACAGGCATACTCACTCCCTTCGGAGCAGAAAAATGTGTGACTTATTTTTGTTTTCTTTGGGGTTTGAAGTCTTGCTGTGGAGCAGCCAGTTTTCAGTCAAATTGGATTGGCGTTTCTGAAATGCCATTATTGAGGAGGGTGCAAAAGATATTCAAGACTCATGTTACTTGGTAATGGATGAGCAATTGGCTGATGAGTATTACCATGTTTTGCTTTAAGTTGGGCCAGTGGTTTAAACTGAGAGCTGAGAATCTACATTACTTTATTAAATTAATAACTAAATCAGAGGAGATGAAACAAAACTAAAAATATCAAGTAAATTAAAAACTTTAATTAAATATATTAAACGAGGTTAATTAGGGAGGGCAGGGCTAGTACAGTATCATTACTGCTCTGCGTGGGAGTTGGTAGAGACCATTGAGATCTTGAGTTACCAATTCTGCAAAGTGTCTGTGACCTAAGGAATCTCAACTGAAACAGGAGTTTCAGTTCACCTGCTTAAAACTGGCTGGTATTTAATGGAGAGCCCCATGTTGACCCTTTTCAGGAAGGCCTGCTGAATGTTTCCCTGGGATCAAGGAGCTCGAGTGCAGATGTCCTCAGTCAGAGGCCAGAAGCTCTACTGAATGGCAGCACCTCCAGATAGATGGCTGCTGACACCAGTAATACACCCTCTCAAGGCCTAGAATCATAAATTAATCCAGGCTACATATTAGTGTTGGCAGTAGTGGAGGTTGCAAGAAGGGAGTCCAAAGTAAGAAACGGGGCTTGTAACACTAGGTTCCTCATTCAGTTCCTGATTAAATGTGATATCCCCTGGGACCTTTGCATGGGTTTACTTATTAGTCTTCCTACAAAGAAGCCTCCTGCTAGGTTAACACCAGTGAAGGTAGGATGAGGCCCTTACGTGAGCATTAATATTGACTTTAGGGCCTGAATTGGCAGTGGGACAGAAAGACTGACAGTCAAGGTGGGTACAGATAACAAACTTGCTACAGAGGTGGACATTAAATTCTATGAACAGTTTCTCTTCCCACATGGTCCCTGAAATGACTAGTTTTTCCAGTATTTTCTGTTTATTTCAGATTTCCAGCATCCAATGTGAGGTGCGCATTGTTGGATGGACTAACAGTTATTGTCCATCTCTAGCTGCCTTTTGAACTGCTGCACTCCACATGCGTAGTTACACCCACAGCGCTGTTAGGGAGGAAGTTCCAGGATTTTGAACGAGTGACACTTCAGGAACAGTGACATATTTCCAAGTTAGGATGGTGAGTGACTTGGAGGGCATCTTGCAAGGGAATGTCAAGGGGTGAAGGTTAGAGTCTCCCTTCTTGGAACTAGTCATTGCCTGGCAATTATGTGGAGTGTATGTTACTTGCCATTTGTCAGCACAATCCTAGATATTGTCCAAGTTTTGCTACATTTGGATACTGACTGCTTCAGTATCTGTAGAGTCATGAATATTGCTATTATGTAATCTATAGCGAATATCAACACTTTGGAACTTATGATGGATGGGAGGTCATTGATCAAGAAGCTGAAGATGGGGACACTACTCCAAGGAACTCCTGCAGAGAAGTCCTGGAGTAGGGATGACTGACTTCCAATAGCGACAACCATCATGCATGTGAGCTAACTCACTCAATCTAATTTTGCTATTGCTTGTTAATATCACACTTGATCAAATGCAGTCTTGATATCAAAAGCAGGTGTTTTCACCTCACCTCTGGAATTAAGCTCTTTTATGCATGTTTGAACCAAGGATGTAATGAGGTCAGGAAGTGAGTTCCCTGGCAGAACTCATGCTGAATTCAGTGAGCAGGTTATTGCTAAGCAAGTGCTATTTGATAGCACTGTTGATGATACCTTCCACCACTTGACTGCCGATCAAAAGTGAAGTGATGAGGCCATAATTGGTTCAGTTGGAATTGTCCTACTTTTGTGTATGGGACATATTTGGGCAACATTCCACGAAACCAGATAGATGCCAGTATTGTATCTGTATGGAGCAGCTTGCCCAAGTTCTGGAGTTCTCATCTTCAGTATTATCTTGCTTTTGAGTGTTTAGTGAGACCACAGCTGGAGTCCTTTGTAACGTTTTAGTCTTCAAACTCAAGGGGTACATTACCTTAATAGGAGTTCAACAAAGGCTCATTCATTGATTTTAGAAATGAGAGGGTTGTTGTATCAGGAGATCTTAAGTAGAATGGGCCCATATTCTCTGGAACTAAGAAGAATGAAAGGTGATCTAACTGAAAAATAAAGATTGGACAGTGTGGACAGGGTTGATGGAGAGAGCTGCTTCCTCTGGCTAGAGGATCTAGAACTAAATAGCAATTTATATTGTCATACTCTGATCAGGATCTTCAGGAGGCACCTATCTCAGGTTAGATAATGGGGGGGGCCTGACATCATGCACACAAAAAAAACCTGAGATTTATTAGTTTACTGTCATGTCAGTGGTAGTCAAGAAATTCCAAAACAAATGTAAATCTATTTAATTTGATCCATGTTTATGCTCATCAATTGACAGAGTTTTAGGCATTAAAATTAACAGTGACTAGTGTATCAAGTGCTTAAATGTTCGAGGGAAATGTTCAGTCTACTTAACCTGCTCCCAGTGACTTCAATGCCTTTGGGACTGAGGACGTTGGTTGGAAATAGTTGCATCTTTGATTACTCCCTAGAATATGTTTCTTTGAACTTGCAATGATATGGATATACTCCAGTCATGTGATACTGCTACCATTACTGAAAGCAATTGACTCCTAACAGTGATGCAACGCCACACTACACAAGGAGTGCTGTAGGACAGAACCTCAAAGGTTAGATGTCCACAGCTTTAAAGTTAAAATTTGATTGGTTACAAAACAGGGGACCCATGGTTTAAATATATTTATTATGCAATCAGCTGGCAGTTATGCCAAAGATCTATGATATATGTTGGAGTTGCAGTAAATTGTTTCAGTTTCAAATATTATTCTCAACAAATTTAGAAAATGAGTGCCATGGAAGAAATTGGCTAAGAGGAGATATTAAATGGCTTGGCGTGCTTCACATTGATAAGAAACAAGTAATGGAAGGATGCATTTATGGATAAAGAAAGTTAGGCAGGAAATGTCAGTGGCATGCCCAAAATTCCCAGTCATCTTTAGGTGGTGGCAGAGGACTAGGAAATTGCAAATGTGACATTCTTCGTCAAAATATAGGTGTAAGATTAATATCTGCTATAGTTGCTGGAGTTTAAATAACTATAATCCTGGATAAAATGAAGTCACTTGGAGGCGTGCAGATTAATTAAGGGAATTCTTCAGGAACCTGGAGACAACTGGAAAATCCCAGTCAGCCTCAGTAGGCTCATAATGAGCTGTGCCAGTTACTGTGTTCTGGTAGGTGACTCCGCTGCCATCCATCCCTCCTCTGCAAATATGGCTGGGATGGAACCAGTGAACTGGCCAGTATGGCTGATATCAGCAGCCACCCAACCTATGCTGGGCCCAGCAGGAGCTTAAAATCAAGTTCCCAGCGTCCGACTAGCTAGCTCAACTTAATCCACCACTGTCTGAGTAGAAGTTTCTATAGCAGCTTTTCATCATATTCCAATCTTTTAAAAAAAATAGCAATTCTTAGCTTATTAACATTAGTATTTAGCATACAGACCTCCAATCATAACATGCTACTTGAACTGGCCTTCCTTTTTAATTCTGGTGCAAAGTCTCTCCCTGGTTGAATCCACACTTTCTAAACTATAGAAGTCCTCCGCTTGCTCAGTCTCCGCATACTCTACAATCTTCAGCTTCTTTGAATCCCAATTTAGTTGACAGAAAATATTACTTTTTGATTTGCCTCACTGTGCTTTGATCAGGTTTTTCACTTGAAATAAATGCCACAAACAGCACACACAGGTAAAACCCAGCTCCTTTCTGGATACTACCCCAAACCAACTGAGTCAAAGCTTTGGCTAGCTTCAGTGCAAGTATGGAGTGGAAATTTGGAACACTGAATAGCCTGTAAATTGGTTCACTTTTCTCCTGTGTTCAATACAAGACCATTTCCTCAGCGCTTTCAATAAGATGATTACATTGGGATGGAGGTAACATTGATGGAAATTGATCACCATGTATTCAGCAACCCATTTAATTTCCAGATACAATGAGTCATATCAT